CCCCAAAACCCCAAAACCCCAAAACCCCAAAACCCCATTAGATGTGTATCAGTGATGTGAGAGTGGAATTAAATTTAATTTTATTTTTGAAGATATATAATTAAACAAACAAGCTAAATCTATCATTAATGGCAGAGAGAACTCAAACATACGCATCACCAACAAGGAATGGTAAAGGAGCACAAATCGAATCTTGTACACCTTTTTTAATTTAATCATTACTTGAATATAGCACCTAATCCAAAAGATTTCGTTGTAATTGACAAAGAACTTATCAAGGGTCTTACTGAGAAAGAAGTTGAGTTAGAGCATCTAAAGACCGTCATCGTAGGTCTAAATGAGAAACTCAAAGTAAGAGAGGACCTCGAGCAAGACCTAGCTCATTCAAGAGCTTAGACTCAGAATGCTGAACAAGCTAGAACTATTTTACATCAGTAATTGGAAGAAGCAGCCAGAAGGGCTCTAGAAGAAGCTGAGAAGAACAAGAAATACTAGGACATCTTAATACGTTAGAACGCAGACCTCGGTGATAAACTCATTCAATAATAAGGTATCATCCAGGGGAAGTAAAGCGAGATTGAGACTCAGAGACATGTAATCAATGGGAAGGACAGAGAGCTGAATGAATTGAAGCATACTTTGGCAGACTTTGAAGAGGTAAAGCGCCAAAACTAACAGTACAAGCGTGACATCCATGACTGTAATAATTCTCGCAAGGAGCTGTAAACAAAATTTGAAAATGCTCTTGAGGATCATAGAAAGGAATTGGAGCACGAGTTCAAAATGAGAGAGCAGTTAATTGCTGAGAAGAATGAACTAGCTAGGAAGCTAAACCAAGCTGAAGCCAAGATTGTTTAGTTGGAGAACTTAATTGACACTCAAAAGAAGATGATAGACGAAAGAGATGACGAGATCGCCAGACTTAAGAAATTACTTTCAATATTAGACGACATCAAGAGACAAAGAGACCAGTTGCAAGCTTCACTGAGGGAGTTCTAAGAGGAAAGAGACAAACTTAGCAAGTAGATTGAGGATTTAGTCAGACAGGCTTAGGAACTTAGAGCTAAGGATGAGCAACACTTCCAAGAGCTAATGGCCCACAGAAAAAGAGTAGAAGATGAGCTACTAGCTAAGGAGAGAATCATAAATGAGAAGGACACAATGATTAAGGAGTTGACTTCAAAGAATCTAGAGATGCAGCAATAAATTAACGCACTCGAATCTGAAGTAGCTGTTAAGAATGACCTCTAGAACAAATTAGCTTTGGCATAGGAGTTAATTGAAAAGATATCAGATGCCAAGGAGAGACTTCAAAAGGAATTAGAAACAGCTAGTGACTATTTATTAGAGCAAGAAGAAAAGACTCACAAGGCAAACTTGACTGCTTTAGAGTTATTGAAGCAATTGAAGGAGGCTGAAAACGAGATCGAGATGTTGAAGCAGTACGTGATTGACTTGAAGTCAAGAATCGCAATTTACATTCCAGCTAGAGACGATATCATTGACAAGAAACTAGCTGAGTACATCAACAACTACCCAGATAGATCAAAGCTCAAGATTATGTTTATGAGAGAAAGCGAGGGAGTCTATCAGTTCGGTAGCAGAAGAATATGTGTCAGAGTAGACAAGGAAAAGATCAACATCAGAGTTGGAGGTGGTTATCTCAGTCTTGATGAATTCCTCGATATCTACACTCCATAAGAGTTGGAGAGACTTGAAAGAAAGGATCCATTGAAGAAGTTCAGTGAGAAAGTAGCCATCCAAAAGACTCTCGTAGGAAATGAAATCAGAGAGTCCTCTCCTATTAGATCTCCAGTTAGAGGAAGTGGCAACAGCACTGCAGGTTTGTCCTCACCTATGAGCAAGTCAAACAGATCTATCAGAAGTCCTCTTAAGAAACAACCCTCCCTGAAATGATAGCAATGATTTTTAGCATTTATTTATTCATTATTTTTTTAAGACATTCCTTTGCTAGATTCTTATTAGGAATACGGGGTTTTGGGGTTTTGGGGTTTTGGGGTTTTGGGGTTTTGGGGTTTTG